CCCAGAGTGCATCAAGACTCTCTTTCAAACAGGCGAGACGTGCAAGTATCAAACTTAGTTTTATTAAACGATACATTAAGTATCATTTGCACATTTTTCACATCACATTCACATGATTTGTAAAGAGGGGTCAGAGGCGTGCGGATCCATTTGCAGCTTTTATTAGAATCAATGGCAGAGTCAAACAGGCAGTAATCAATCATCAGCGTCAGGAACAACAGGGACAATCCAGGAGAGTAAACCGTAACAGAGCGAGGGTCGGGGCAGGCGGCAGAGAATCACACTAGTAAGAACAGTCCAACGTAATACACAAGAGATCAAAAGACAGGGGATTAACGGTCAGAAATGTAGCCGTGGCAAAACAAGACTTCGCGAAAACTAAGAGTCTGGAAGCTACTTAAATGGGGAAGCTAAGGGGAAACACCTGTGCCAGTAATCAGTCCCAGGTACGGGGTGTATGGGAAATGGAGTCCAAGAACGTTAGTACTCAGGAGAGGGGTCGGAGAGAGCCACAGAGGCCTGATTTGTGACAATAACTACTTATAATTAATTATTCATATTTCCCCTTTGAGCTGATTCGCTACAATATCTTCTGCTACTTCTGTAGTTTAGTCACCATGAAATCAAAAGGGGAAGATCTTATTTTTTTACGGAATATTGCAGTGGTTATTATAAATGATTTTCTATGCACATGATTATTTTTTCAAAATAACGTCTACTCCCCCAATGACATCTCATCTCTTTTTTGTTCATAAGCACCGGACAATAACGTTTTCCCTCCAGCAACTTGACAATTAGATGGGATTCTAGCAATAGCAAGCAACAATGATCCAACAATCAATTCCTGATGGACCTAATCAAGTCCCGTCCCACAATTCTTTCTCATTCAAAAAGCCGTTTCACTCAGATATACGTCAAGAAGAAAAGGGGAGCGCAACGTCTGTTTCATGCTGATTTTAACATTAAATGTGTGTGCATGTTTAGCACAGTTGAGGACAGCCATATGTTTAAAAGTGTCTGACTCCCTCTGTTCTACTGATGACAGGTTTGTCACTGTTGAAGGATAAAGCTTTACAAATTTCAGGACATGCTAGTTGTATTTCTGCAAATAAAAAACATTTCTGTTGTAACAAAACCAACACAAGAAGACACATTTTGAAACAATCTAGTCTGTAAATTAAGCACTATACATTAAAAAGGATTTTGAGCATGCAGAAAGAGCGTCTGATTTGTTTTCAAGAGAAACACCATGAAAAAGCTCACAATCTCTTCTCTCTCCATATACACAAATACAGAATACATTATAATTTCATTATCCTATATGAGTATGTGAATGCAGTATCAAATCATAACACAATGAAGTTACATTGTGCATTCTCAGTGTGGCCACAAGGAGTACTATGCATATACAGTATATATATATATAATAGGAGTACTTATACAGCAGGCATTTGTATACATTGTCTTCTTTTATGGTCAGTTTTCTCTTTCAGCTTTTAGCGAGTTGGTTAAAGTTAGTTAAACTGTCAGCATGTTTATAGTTAGCTGATGTAAAGGTATAGCCTGCCGTGAAGCATAATGCTAAAGATTTGAAATCTGCCAAATTTATTTGATTATGTTTATAGTGTGTGCTTTTTATGGTGTTTATTTATTTATTTATTTTTGGGGGGGGCTTTGTCATTTTAGAGGTCTTTACACCTTAATTTCTGACCCAAGACCTGAGCAGGTTCAAGGTCCAAAACTTTGATGAGTGCCTTGGACACAGGACCTTGGGTAATTTTAAATAAATGTGCTTTTACAAAATAGACCCAAGAATACCCAACATTTTTAAAGCCAACTTTTGATTATTAGTTTCAAGCATTTTTTTGGGGCATTCATGCAATATTTTATTATTTAAAACAAATTAGTGCTGTCAAGCGATTAATCGTGATTAATTGCATCCAAAATAAAAGTTTTTGTTTACATAATATACTTGTGTATTCTGTGTATATTTATTATGCATATATAAATACACATACATACAGTATATATTTTGAACGTGTTTCAATGTATATATTTATATTCATATAATTGATATTATATATAAATATTTTAAATGTATAAACTTAACATATTTTTCTTAAATATATACATGCATGTGTGTGTATTTATATGTACATAATAAATATACACAGAACACAGACATATATTATGTAAACAAAAACTTTTATTTTGGAAGCGATTAATCATGATTAATCGTTTGACAGCACTAAAACAAATACATATTAAATAATGTCTTCCCCTCTGTCCATCCATGCTTCCATGTATACTGTAGATGACTTGGCCATCAACAAAAATTAAACATATAATAGCTATAAATTTAGGTGTTTTTCTTCTAACAAAGCAACTTGTTCAAATCCATCAAAAATATTTTTTTAGTTTTTTTTTACATACACAATGTACAGGATTTCTGATAAAATGGGTTAAAAATGTAGCTAATGTAAATGTTACGAATCAGAAAATTAATTTACAAATCTACAAATGAATCTTCAAATAGGTTAAGAAGAAGGTAAGAAATTATTAGGTTGATTTGGGTAAGGAACAGATTTTAGAACCCAAGAAAACCTATACTTAACAGGCCCAGTCCTGATTTATTTTTATTGTTCAGAGAAAAAAAAAAGCAGCTTGGGAGAGTTACTCACTCGCAGAGTAAGATGCCATTGTCGAGTCCACCTCTGAAGTCACTGTCAGTAAAACTCCCGCCGGTCACTACCTGCAACACATTCACAAATGTTCAGCACACATCAATGTGACTACAACACTTGATTTCAGTAAAATTGGCAAGTTTTTAAAAGCACCGGTGTGAAGTTTTCAGCGTTCAGTACAGCATTTCTCAGAATAATACAACTGAGAAAATTTAAGATGAAAATCAGCACAACAGGAAATTACCTTCTATGACACAGCACAAATCAAAGCTTATTCCACTGGTTATTTCAGACCACTACAAGAGAAAGAGATAAATAAAAAAGATTCCCTCTCTCTCTCTCTCTGACAATTCAAAGCGCCTAAGCAGCTGTCATCCTGGCTAAATCTCTTTCTCATCCGTGCTAATTATTCCTGACATTTGGGATTTACCTTCTGTGTTGCTTGTGCTTTCCTCTCTCAAGGGCAAGAGGCATATGCAGTTTACGTATTCACAGTTTTTTAGTGCTGTAAGTATTACATAATAAAGCAGCTGATTTATTTTAATGAATTTTACAATCCTTTCTTAAAATAGCTTAGATCAGCTAAATAATTTTATATGAGTTCAAAAAGAACTACTTGGGTGGAGATTAACTGTCACACTTAAGTCATATGATTTGAGGTGAAGACAAATACACCGGTCACATTTTATATTAGGTGGCCTTAACTACTATGTACCGTCTTCGTGGAACGTCTTCCTGTGTTCGTCTCCCTTGGTTCCTTGGTGCAAATAAAGTCTTGTCAACATATTTTCCAGCGTCTCCTCGTCCCTCGTGTGTGTGTGCAACGTGACACCTTAAGGCTGCCATTAAGTATTTCCCTTAATTATTTAATTGTTCCCTTAAGTGTTGCTACAAAGTTAGGTTTGGTGGTATGGGTAGGTTTAAGGGTGGGTTAAGGTGTAAGGGATGGGTCAACAGTGTAATTATAAATGTAATCAGCCAAGTCAAGTCATGTCACCTTTATTTATATAGCACTTTATAAAATGCAGCTTTACAGTGATAAACAAGAAACCAGTGATTCAGTGATGCAAACAAAACTAAATTCTGGTGTAAAGCAGCTCCAAAAAGACAACAGTAAACAGTCATTATTCAGAATTAATTTATTTTGTCGATAAAGCAGCTCTGGAGAGGTGATGTCATCATTTAGCTCAGTTCAGTTCTCATCCAATAGTGTCTGTGCAGTCATGTCAATAATATTGCCAAATATTAAGTGTCCTCAACTAAGCCCGCCAAAAGGCGACAGTGGCAAGGAACCAAAACGCCATCGGAGACAGAAATGGAAAATTAAAAAAAAATTATTTAAAAAACTTGGGAGAAACCGGACTCATTCGGGGGGTCAGGGCCCGGTTGCATGAAAGCCCTTATGCTAAGAAATCCCTTAGCCTTAGTAACCATTTCACCTTAATAAATTTAAGGGACCAAAAGAGCTCCCTTAAGTCATCTTAAACTCAGTATCTGCAGGATTTTAAACTCAAATGTAAGACTTAAGACATTTTTTAAGACCTGCACACATAAAATATCATATGAGCACAGTAGGGCAATGACTATGGTAACATATTAAACTGTAAAATGACTGTAAAAAGCATGACTTACAGGTTTTCACAAAACAAAAAGTTGTATATACATTTTTAAGTAAATGGACGAGTTGTATAAATTATTATATCAATTTAAATAATTTAAATTGATATCATAATTGATATCAATTTATTATTAATCAATTATTACATTAATTAAATAACAATATAAATATAATTTGTCTTAATTGTTTAGATTTTTATAATGCATTATTTAGTCGGTCCACCTGTTCACATTTACAACTCTGCGTGTTTGCAACGTCAAAACATGGGTTAATTTTCACATTTGGTAAATTTTCCGTCATTGGTCAGCAGGAGGCGCTTTCACTGCAGAAACAAAGCGGTTTCCTCGGTAATGACTGTACACAAAGCAGTGCAGAAACTGGCAGCGCTAATGTTTATTTAATGTTTGTCTGTGTTTTAGTTGGTTAGGTTTGTATTTCTGTTATGTTCTGTTTATTGTCATAGATATGTATACATATCTGTTTATTGTAAGATGTAGTAACTATAGTAACCGCGGCGCCCATTGCCGTATGTTGCCAGAAACTACCGTGAAACTCTTAGTATAAACACTTAGGTAAGGGTGACAGACGTTTGTTGCAACGCTCCTAAAGAAATCCCTTACCTCAGGGATAACCCTAAGTCAAATTGCTTAACGACTTTCATGCAACCAGGCCCACATCTCCTCTGGCCAGACAAACCAACATGGTGTGGTTTAATTCTTGACTGATTCGAAAGTCAGAGTTGTGAACTCATCTTTCTGTCAACCACTAGAAAGGATCCACTCATCATTTCATAAAGTAAGCAAGCAAAATTGAATTATATATGCTGATACCGATGCTGATACAGATAGTTTGGTTTTCTTAAGGAAAAAAATCTCTCCCAAATAAGGGCCAGATTTACTAAACAGGGAAAATTAGTGTTAGAGCGCAATTACATAAAAGTGCCAAATATTCCGAGGGTGATTTACTAACAAGGGGCACATTAAAGAACACAGACGGAACATCTCCTTTCCATAATGACCAGCGCAATCAACCAAGGGCAGTGCATATTACGGCCTGCTTTTAGACATGTATTTTTTGGGCTTTAAATAATGCTGCAAATACCAGTGAATTGAGAAGCACAAATCGTGTTGCGTGACTCCTTTAAATACTCTCCTCCATAAATTTACCAATCGGAAGAGAAACTCCTACAAATGCATATTCAATAAGGAATAACTGTGTATTAGTGCCTTTTCAGCACTAATATCCCACTGAGTGTCTTTAGTAAATTCTGACAGTAGTCTTTTAATGCCAAATGAGGGTTTGTGCTGACGCAAGCTGATAGTAAATCTTTAAATAAAAAAGGCAGTTTCACAAAAATTTGTTGTCATTTATTCAAACATACAAAAATAATGAAATAATTCAAATAATTAACAGTAAATAAGCATTTTTATAGCTAACTAACCAACTGTGGACACTGGATAACTTCCCTGAGGTAAATGCAATTTTAAGTGTATATTATTAACAAGCTGTTTTATTTGACGTCTTTCTTTTCTTTTTTTGGTTGAAATGCTGATTGAGCGATTTTATAAGACATGATACATTTTGGTAAGTTGTACTGTATCTTTCAACAACACCTGATCTTCATTCATGTTTATTTTGAGATATTGAACTGCAGCGGCTACAGCAATCTCTCACGTCGCATTTAAGAGTGTCAAAACAGCATTTATTGTTTGAATTTTGTGATAAAATCTACAGGATTTGAAAGATAAGACTTTGTTTACGGTGCTGCATTAATGTGTTATTATTGCTTTAACCTGGACAGCCCTAAATTCAACACAAGAAACATTTTCTTCACGCAAGTTGCAGTCTGACACGCTCTTCCGGTGCCTTTTGATTGACAGGAAATAATAGGCCCTTATCACTGGTCACTGGCATTGGCCGATTGTGCAGATAATTGCTGTAACAGATTATTGGCCGATACATTAGTGCATCCCTGTTTATAAATTTTGCAAAGTTTTTTTTTGCACCAAAACAGGTCCAATATTTGTGAAAATTATAATTTTTCATCCACATTTTCACTCTCTGTGAAAAACAGAGAAAGGGGCATTACATCTTGAAGAAATGAAAGTTAGTGCTCACTGCTGTGACTGGCTAACTTCACACTTTATCCACACCGTCCTTTACAGCATGTTGTGTTTTGCAAATCTTGTGATAGAGCCATATATGTTTGAGCCCAAGTCAGATCCTGAGGCAGAAGAAATTGAAACAACGCAGCCACAATGACTACAACAGTCTGTATCATACTGTTGCTTGCTTAATTTCTAATTGGTTTTAAAAAGTACTTTTACTAATTGTATTACAAAAGACACTGCACAAACACGGGTATGTACTGACTTTATTAGCAACACATGATACGCTTGGTGGCCTAATAACTAAATGCTCGTTTGATGTTTATTACAACACACTGTAAGGTTAAAAATTAATGTAATTACCTGCCTTGCCTCTGAGGATAAAATGCTTGGTACTGCTGTATCTTTCAAAAAAATGTTTAGAATAATTCACAAAACAGTCCATTATGAAATGTGAAATACTCTGTATTCAGTTGCTCAGGCACGTCATTAAAAATTAAATTCAGCCATGCATTTCTAATTTTCAAATCTTTACGAAGGCTAAGTTTTTTGAGGTGCAGTTTTTTTACAACCACTGGCAGAAAAACATCTGAGTTTGACTGTCTTACTTTATATTTTTATCCAAAAGCAGTATTGCTCTTGTGATCAATGGACAAACATGAACACACCTCCTTGGATTATATAAAACAATAATGCATGTTAAGTGGCGTGTCAAGGAGAAGTGTGACATCACAATTCTCCAGATTTCAAATCCAGGCATTTCAGGATAGAAAGGAATAATTCATATTTTGAATTATTTTCATACAGAATCGAGTTAGTTAGTTTAGCGTTTAGTCGACTTAACCCACCTGGTTCCGGTGACTTCAACAGCGTTTATTTTGGAGTTGTTTTTAATGTCGAGTTAGTTAGTTCGAGTTATACAGAATCGAGTTAGTTAGTTTAGCGTTTAGTCGACTTAACCCACCTGGTTCCGTGACTTCAACAGCGTTTATTTTGGAGTTGTTTTTAATGTTAGTTAGTTTTGAGAGAGTTGGAGAGTTAGTTTTGAGTTCTGAAACTTGCAGTGTGTTTTTATTGTAGAGTAATCTTTTATAAATATCAAGAACATTTTGATTGACCTGTCCATACTGCATTATATGACGGAAACAGAACTGCTTGTGGTTCCATCAAACCCATCGTTTCATCAC